GATAAAATGCTGGGTAAATAGGGTAAATAGGATTTGTAGCCGTCAGCTGGTTTTCTTAACCCAACTTTTTAGTTGTTTGTTGATTGTTTTGCCTTTAGAATAAATGTGACAGACATCTTCAACAGCAAGAACACAAAAAAATGGAAATTTGAGAACTTGAGATTAAAATTAAAATCGGTCAATTAAAATATAGTTTGTTGAGCTTAGGATTGTTGGGAGGTGTCATTTGGCAAGATTCATCTGCGGATCCATCCGCTCGGAAACTAAACTAGCTTCACCTAGATAGGTTACTAATCCTTGAACAGCTAACAGCTGATACTGATCGAACTGATTCTAGATTAGTGTTTCCGTAAGCAGCTACTGCTACCATAAAATAATAAAAAAATTCGAAGTACTAACCTACTACTGCAGCGAGTTGAATTAACCTAGGTTCAGTAAATTTTCTTTTATTTACCAACATATCTTCACAGTTTATATAGTGATGTGTTGCTCCAGAGTCTGCATACCATTCTGTCACACTGTCGTTGCTAAAATTCTCTGAAGTAGCACAAAAAGCTACTGCCTCCTCATCAGGTTGATCCAATGTTGCCTGTTCCCGTCTATTTGTGTGTTCACCTGAACTGTGACCATCTGCATAATTGGCCTTGTCCTTTTTATTTTTACACTGGAAAGCTTTATGTCCAAATTTACCACATCAGGCATGGCATTTGACGCCACAAACACTCTGAACATGCCCTATTTTGTTGCATTTGGGGCCGAATTTATAGTCGTTCCTTGAGTCTTCCTTGGAGGTCGTGAGTTTAGAATGGACACTTGCTACTATTTGACAAGTTAGTCATGTCAATTCTAAACGTTCAAGGCTTCCTTAAGGTCTGAGGAAACCTCAAGGAGGGACTATAAATTCGTCCCTTGAAGCACTTGATCTGTCTAGGAGCAGCACTAAAAGAAGCAGGAATATCTCTAACATTCTTCAAATTTTTACTCTGGTTTTTGTTTTGACTAAACTCCAACAATCTACTTTTCACAAATTCCATTTTCAAGTCATTCTCAGAAAGGGTTCTAATGGCACTTACCACATGCTCAAATTCAATTGGCATAGTAATAAAAAGCAAGCCGTGTCTGACTCGTCAAAATTACTTCCCAAGTTTTTCAATTCTCTGAATATTCTATCACACCTTGCAAAATGCTCTTGCAAATCCATGTTGCCATTGTATTTAATAGAAATCAGTTCTTTCAACAAGTAGAATTTTGAACATGTACCTTTCTTATCAAAAAAATTCCTTCCAGTTTACTTATCATCTCAAATGCAACATCGGAATCCTTAATGTACTCTAAATGAGTATCTGACACACTCTGTATTATGACCATGCATGCTTTGTTATTCATTTTGTGCCAAGCTTCATCTTTTCCAACAACTGGTACTTCTTTTAGGGCATCTTTCAGATCCATCGCCTTCAACACTGATGTTAATCTGAACTTCCAGTTATCGAATCCGGTTCCACAGAACGGAATAATTCCATGTTTGTTTTCTACTGCCGCACTACTGCTATTTGCTAAAACGCCCGCCATTTTCCTGATACTCAACACTCACTTTTTCTGCTAACTTTTTTTTTATTACTCAACTCCTACGTCCAACAACACATTAAACTTCCTCTGCTAGCCTGCTGCCTGGGCCCATAACCACTGTTAAATTTAAATAATAGGCAAGAAATAATATGTTGTTGATTGATTTATTTAATTACTCAATACAGGACGAATTGCAATTATTACAAACATGTTACAACTACTTCAAAACAACGAATGCTACCATGACAACGTCATCCGTCATATTCTCAATCTATCAAGCGATAGTAGAGTAGAGGTGGGCAATAATACTAGGGATGGGTTTAATTTCATACAACAATATTAACAACCATAATACGTGATCGCTGATTATAATAATTACCAGTGAACTGTCGTTGACATTGACCTTCCATGGGTTTAGGTTCCTTGTACGTACGAATTAATAATTCAATAATTCATTCAACTTGCAACCAAATGTTATTTAAATGTAACGTGATCAATGATTTTCCTGAAGCCCATATGAACCTTTTTTGGAAGATGATCGGGGAAATGCTATTATCCTAGATACGACAATATCATACTTTGAATTTTTTTATTTTCAATAATCGCACCTAGATCAAAATGTAGGTATAGGTTTTTCTCCAAATTACTAAAAAGTTGTATCACTTATGGACGTTAAAATGGACAACTCAGATCTCCATCACTAGGTAGATAATCGTTAAAAATGAAGACACGCAGCTCAAATATAAAATACAAAAATGTCCAAAACTCGTATTTTTTTCCAACTCACCCATCAAAATTAACTGTACGTCGGCATAAACCCCCTAAAAAATGAAATATCAAAACTGCTTGTTAACAACCCGACCATACCGTCGTGAATCAGCATCCCTTGAAAGTAATCCTACGGGAAAACGGGACGAGGCGTCGGGACGCTCTCTTTGTCTGGGGCGCGACGCTTAATTGTTGTTCTTTAATCCCCGTTATTGTCTTTCGACAATGCATTCGGCCCCGTAAAATGTCATAAATGTCGTCGTTTCGGTGAGCTCTCAGTATTTCTTTTGCTAATCTTATGATGGTGAGAGGAAAACAATACGTTTTGGCTGGATAATATTTTAGAAGGATGTTTCACGCTCCCATTGGCAGCTTATCGGGAAGTTTGTGTAGAAGTTTTTGGGTAAATTATAGTATTTAGATGGGATTAATGTTTGGGAATTTATGTAGGTATTGATGAGGGAAAGGCTGAGACTATAATGGTGTATAAAGTTATAACGCTTTTTAATTTTCTGTGGCTTTTCCTTTAGTTCTCATGCTTTACTACTAGGAAAGGAACTCTTATTCTTGATCTGTAGTTATAGTTTCTGAATAGGTTTGTGATACAAATCCGACATAAAATTTTCCTGTTGTTACCTATATCTAATGCAGCAAATAAAGTACCTACCTACATTGTCAATTTCGTTATCATCATAGTCGTTGAGATAAGCTGAGTATGCGAAGATTTCTTATGTTAGTCTTTTTTACGATATTCCTTCTTTTAGCCTGTTTAGTTCTAGTTATTTTCTTCACTCCATTACATCTAATTTCTAGTTCAGTTTCTCCTTCGTTTTGGACATTGTCAATACAATTATCTGACAGATCATTTATTTCCTCATCTACATTCCAACTTCTTGTCCATTTCCTATAAATATTTCCAAGTATATAATAATACCTACATTTTCCAAAGTTTGAATTTGTACAGGTGAATTGATTTTCCATACTCATGAAGTTAGAAAAGATAATAGAGTTTTCTCTACCCATACCATTTAAATTTTCCTGAAAAAACATTTTAACGTTTTGTGTCTATCAGTTTTTCCAAAACTAGTGTCATTAATTCAAATGGAAAATTATTTGGATTTTCATCACCTCTACATATAGTCCAAGAGCCCAGAGCCGCCAGACACAACTTATTTTCTAAAGGACAGAATATGTGGGATTGTGTAGCACTTATATGTACTATGAACGTATGGATACCCGCTAAATTAGGTAGACGGCCAATTTACCAACATCAGGTGCGAAAGCTGAAGAAAGCTTTAACTTTTGTTCTAACGCTTGATTTTTATATATGGTATTGGGGAGACCATTTCATAACTACGTGTGCTCAGCTAGACCAATCGCACCGGCCAAACATCCCCCCAGACGGAAAATAATTTTTTCCGGGAGTGTAAGCGCGAGGGTACTATGCATGCGTTTGAGAGTGAGCGAGATATCAATGTCAACTGATTTCCCACTCTTAAACTTACAGTCTACTCTAGGCTAGAGTAGAAATGGGATTAGGTTTTTCCCATGATAGGAAAAACCGTTATTTACAAATAACAGTGAATTGGCCGTCTACCCAATTTAGCGAATATACATACGTTCATAGTACCTATAAGTGCTACTCAATCCCACATATTCTGTCCTTTAGAAAATAAGTTGTGTCTGGCGGCTCTAGGCTCTTGGACTAATAGCTCCACATCTATTTTAAGTTGGCCTACAAATATCAAAGTTTGATCATTTCAACGATTCAAAAGTAAACTTGGATGACATCAACTATTGCACCAAAGAAGTTGGCGGCCATGTCATTGGTTAGGAGGACCTACATATCCAACTACTGATGGACTTGGATTAAACCCCGCAGTTGACACGGTCCAAAAGCACAGCACTTGGAGTGCGTTCGAAATCACCCTGGGCGTCATACCGAGTGCACACCAGCCATGAAAAATGCATGGCTGGTGTGCACTCTGTGTGACGCCCAGGGTGATTTCGAACGCACTCTTGGATTAGAACTTGGACGAAGTAAGTTGGCAGCCTTTATGTTAGAACAGAACCCATCCAACCTAACTTGGATAAGAAGTTGATAGATCAAAGTTTCGTCTAGGTAAGGCGCGCGCAGCTTTCAAGAATACTTGATCCAAAGTACACTTGGAGAGTGTCAAGCCTGATGGTTTACCAGTGAGCCGAGGCGCGCGAAGCGTCCAGGGGTACCTACTCGATCCAAGTGCACTTTAGATGAGAACTTAGACCAACTAAGTTGGCAGCCAGCCTAATGTTAGAACACTTAGAATCTATTCAACCAGACTTGGAGTAAGCCAGGTTGACAAGGAAAAAAAATCTGATAATAGGTTAGGTACCTACTTACTCTGACTTTTGTTCGAAGAAAAAAAAATTGTTCTCGCACAACAAGCGCAACAACTAACAACCCTCAAATCCATAAACTATTTACTATTTTCATTCATTGATTCGATTGTCGATAGGGGGCAGAGCCTAGATTCCTAAGCCCTGCCCCCAAATCCTTAAGCGTTCCTAACTTAGCGCTTATTATAGCTTGGCAACGTCAGCCAAGCGCCGCCCCCGCCTAGGAATCTGAAGCTTATCAGAGTCGCACCGCTATCAAACAGTTGTCTCCCAACTGTAAGATAATTCGGGTGAAGGAGGCTTAAAAGTGACTCTTAGTAGAGTTTTTTTTGCGGCGTATGTTATTGTGACTAAAAAAGTGCCGGCTTAGTGATAGAAAATTGTGACTTAATCGATAAGCAAAATGGCATTAGAACTGAGTTGTCATAACGCATCGATGCCATTAGATTTTAGTAGTCAGAGAGAGTCGAGCAGGAGTCCCGAATTGAATGTTTCAGACTCAGCTCCTGCGAGTCCTCTACCGACGGGTAATGTTGGAAGTAGCGCCTTTACTGTAGTCACACCAAAGGGAAGAGATAAAAGTAAGTACAAAATTTCATTAAAATCAAACCTAATTTGAAATATCCACATTAGATTGAAAACTTTAAAATGCCCAAAATGTGATTTGGATTGATTCAATCAACTGAGAAGTTATTTGGATAAGACCAAGAGAATATTCAATTTTCAGGAGATTTAATAATATTCTATATACAATAGTTTTCAAATTCTTTATTTTTTATTTCCAAAATATGTTCGTTAATAGGTATCGTATTTAAATTAGCATTAAAACTTATCAAAACATAAATCACTCTAAAATTTGTAATTAGGTAAACAAAACTTACCAAAAAAACCACCATAGGTAGGTATTAATCCTTCCAAATTAGTAGATACTTATCCTAAGTCACTTTATTACCCTACCTAAAATGTTAATCCAAAACCCCAGAATTAATACATCAGATAATTAATAATTAATCCATCTGTTCAAGATTAAGATTCTTCACCTAAATATATCCCTGCCGTAATACAACAATAAATAAATCGATTATCGAAACCCAAATAGCGATTAAATAACAATATAAAAAATAATAAAATAATAAATTTGCTCAACTTTCGGAATTAAGACGTGTAGAGGAGCGATAACGCTGGATCAGCTTCGATTTTTGACTGGTGTCCTAATACCCTCCAATAAATCTCGCACGTTTTGATATGAAATGGATTACGAAATAATAAATATAAAGTTACCGTTGCAAAAACTTTTAGCTACTTACCTACTTACAGACTTCTAAAAGGTATTAAATATTTTTGACATAGACCATCAATTGAGACTAATATTTTTTTCGAATTCGGGCCTGGATGACTGGGCACCGGTCCAATCAAAAACACCAAGACTCAACCGTTTGCCTTAATTGTCCAAAATACGAACCTCGCCTTTGGCGGCGAAATTTCTTCAATTAATGGCGCTTTTGTTTCTTTTGCCGACGATCCTATTTGTATTAATTTAACCGAATTTAACTTATTTAGAGCTGGCTGAGAGCATGAAGTTTGCTTCTCAAAATTATCTCATCAATCAGGAATACCTACTTATTCTGCTGAGTATAAAATTCATGAGCAGTGTATGTTGTCCTTTCTCTTCCTTGGACAATTTTGAGCCTCGGAGGTTTATCGATCCCTCTCATCTGTGATCTACCTCTTGATTTGTGTCCAACATAAAATCTGTTTTCTTTTTAAAGATAAAAGTCGAAATTACAATATGTTGGCAATACAATGTAAAATTGTCAAGGCTTTCAAATTTTTTATGTAGAAAAGGCTTGTGTTGCCAACAGTTACTAAATTTTTGACTTGGGGAATTATCTTTAAAACTTTAGTAGGTATATTATATCTGACTTCTGTCTTGCAACCTTTATCACATTGGTTGAACATTTTGTTTCTTTAAGATCCATGAAAATATGATGAGTATGCATTTGGAGTCGTTACAGCTTGTTCCAGCCGCTCAAGCACTTCTATCTTTCCAGATATTTTGTTCGTGACTCTGCTTCTACTTGGTGTCCAAGGTTTGTAAGCTTTTCCCAAAGGAGGTCAGCTTCCTGAGTAGTAAAGTGCCCACTTCTTCAAGGTATTTCAGCTCAGCCTTTTGCAGAAGTGGAAAGGGCATTCACAGATTAAATGTTCTGTAGTTTCTGTTGCTTTTTCGCAAGTTCTATCATGCTTGTTCTCTGATTTGCCAAGCAGTGTCCATAGTGAGCAGACCAACGACTGTTCTAATTTGTCTTCAATTCATGTCAGGACCTTGTTCAGATCTTTTTGCTGACATATGATATGAACCTTTTTGGCCTGTCTCAGACCCGAAAAAATTCAGATAAAATGCAACAACTTTTGGGTTTACACCTTTTACCTGTAATTACGGCTGCAGGTGGGTGTCAAAATATGGTGACTCACCCTGTATATGTAAGTATTATCTTTTTCAAAATATATAGATTTTCAGTGCATGGTGCTTTCTATACTATACTTCCATGTTATCTGTTTTCACTTTTGACTTCCACATGCTCATTTCTTCCCATGCTTCCATCAACTGTAGCTCTTCAAATTTGTTCAGCCTCTTCTGGCTCTTCTCCTGCGTTTTCAGAATTTCAACTGTCTCTCCTGGCTGTTTTGTTATTCTTCAGATCCTTATTCGCCTACTCGATCTGTGCATGTCGGGATCTGCAAAAAATGTCGCATCAGCTGAAGCGATTTTGTTCTTGTATATTTATTATGTTCCATTTTCATTTTATATGCAAATAGTTTTCATTCAGCAAAAATCTCAATCTTATCCACGTAATTCGATTAACTATAAACAGCCATCTAGTTCTTGATTTGCTACAAACTTGGGTGAATCTTAGGGTGGACGTAACTCTAATCCTAGTAAATGCTTGCTTTGTAAAAAGTCTCCTCATACAAGTCATACATTGAATAAATGCGACGGTATCGAATTTGCTCAACGCCTCTCATACTTTAGTTCATTCATCCATTTCAATAGGGAAACTAGAACTGCTAAGTCGCGTACAGATGCTAATCAGGCATCTATATCTGTTGTTCCAAATCCTAATCATACACAACAGTCACGCACAGCCTCATTCGTTAACCTTGTAGGTTGCACACTGTCAAAGAATCAATCGACTGTCATGCTTTCAACAGCTGATGCTTCAGGCAATTTTCAGAGCAGGGTCAGAGTTTTCCTGGACACAGCCTGCATGGCTAACTTTATTGTCCAGCACCTTGATCTTCAGCAGGATCACTGTTCTGTTTCTCTAGGAGAAGGTTTAATTGGCATATCAGCTTCTTCCACACGTGGAGTCACTCAGTGTACTCTTGAGCCTCAAAATAAGTCTGGTCCAACCTTCCATTTATTTCGAAGCGGTCATTCTCTCTAAAATTTGTACTAATCAACCCAAACTTTAACTTAAACCTTCAGGATCTACCCCTTGCCAATAGCAAACCTTTCTCTGCTGGAAAAATTGATGCTCTCATAGGTCCCCTTTTTCTTGGGTTCCCGGAAAAAATTTGGAGAACCTAATCAGCTTGTTGCAATAGAAACATTTTTGGATACATTCTTCAAGGGAAAGCAGCTTGTCGTGCCTCACTGCAACCTCCCACACCTCTACTTACAAATCTGGAAATACAGTTGAAAAAATTCTGGGAGATTGAGCAAATTCCTAAAACCCCTCTTCAATCTCCAGAGTGTCAGTACAAATCACTTACATATCCCTAGGTTTGCAATTCCCTTGCTATTTAAGCATTCTAACTCTGATCTGGGAGACAGTTACGCTTCAGCCTACCGTAGATTTTGTATGCTTGAAGCAAAATTATCCAAAAATTCGAAATCTAAACAGAAGTAGGTATTCGGATTTCATAGAGTATCTGGCCATAGTAGCCACAGGACTTCAGTTCCCAAAGAAAATTACAAATCTTCTTCTGCATACTACGTGCCTCATTTTTGTGTTAGGAAAACGGATCTGACAGGTTCCAAAATCCTGACAGGTCCCAAAATCCATGTCGTCTCCTTATTGGACCTAACTTCAAAGGGATATTTCTTTCGTGCTTCTGTCATACCGCTTGCATGCTTACTGTTTTGTTGCCGATTATATCAAGATGTACAGGCAGATTCTGATTCATCCCCAATTTTTTGACTATCAAAGAATCCTCCAGGATACTTCCTATAGTCACTGTTTTTTACGACAGTCGATCTTCTCCCTATTTAGCTTTGATAACTCTCTAGGAACTAGATAATCAAGAAGAATGAAGAATCTAGCTTTCCAGAAGCTGCGCAGGTCCTTAGAAGGGACAATAACGTTGACGATTACATACCTACCCAGGCAGCGATACCCTCAAATCCACGCTTTTTCTTCAAGCAGTTTTAGGAAAAGCTATATGAAGATAATGATAGTTTGAATATGGTGGTGCTAACACTTCAGAAAAAGCATCAGGATGACTCAGATTCAGAGGATCTTGTTATTTAAGATCCAAAGCATGATAAGTGGGCAACTGTCTGGCTGGTATTCCTAGTGGGACATGTTACGTCAGCCTTACAACATGAATACCAAATGCTGGGCAGTTACTACCAAGGATAATACACACTACTACACAGAATTGATTATCCTCCTCGTTTTTGGGAATCGCGAGCATATTGTGTAGCACCATTGACAACGTCATCAAATATGTCGTCAGCTGTTTGTGCCAGCGATCGTTGTTTAGAATATACATTTATGATGAAAAATATTGTCACAGAGAGAGAAACTCGCTCAGGTTTATATAAAAATATGTATATTTGCCCTGAGAAATTATTACATGAATCCTCCAGGGCTGCGTTCAAAAACGGCTAAAGCCAAGCCAAAATTGGCATATTGCGTTCAAGTTCGGCTTCAGCGTGCCAAAAACGGTTGGCTTTACACGTTCAGAATCGGCCGCGGTAAAGTAACTTTTGGAGGTGCTTTCAACTGAGTCTAGAAATGGTTATACGAATTTTGATTGGATGAGACCAAATTCAATATGTCGAGGCGGCCAGCAAGTTAGTTTTGAATATGTGTTTTCATGCATATTTCAATTATTTTACTTCGAGTTTTGCTTGCAGCTTTGATTTTGATTATTCAATAAAATATTTGTAGGTACGTAAACTATTGAGTTGGGCAGAAACCAGATATTTTTTGTGTTTTTTCGTCCATGTGTGGACGCCACGCCATCTTGAATGTCACGTGGTTTGGATTGTCTAATTGAGAAACGGTATTTGGCGTTCCAGCAAATTCACATCAGATTTGGTATTGCCGGTAGAAGGGGAAAAGTAGGTTTTGGCATTAGCATTGCCGTCTTTGAACGCACTCCTGGATGCATGCTCTTCCGTGGATAGGGCCACACGTCTGACGCTACTTAGAAATTTCGGTTTAATGTTACCAATGTTATGTTGAATGCTAATCGTTGTTTAACTGATCCACATCTAGAGGGGCTTTCCCAGGGTGGCGGTATTTGCACTGGGGAGACTTGACTCTACTCTAGAGGGGTGTTCTCAGGG